TTTCAGTTTGTACTATCGTGCATTATTCGATTATTGATGTATCGCCTTTCAGAATATTTCTCCTAAGAAATCTTAAAATATTTGGAGTCCACTTAGACAAAACTGTTTTACAGTGAAAATCAATAAGTCAATGATAGTTAAGGAGACACTAATCAGTTGGATGTACTAATGAGAAGATACTTAGTGATAATCACTCACAACCACCAAAAATGAAGACTGGTCATTAAAACGTGTTATAAACAGAACACTTGCCTCGATTCAGTTATACCACTGGGGAAATATAAATACTTTAGTAATTTAATTGATCAAGATATCCATTCATGTTTTTAACATACTATATGAATTGTGAACTTACGATTCGACAAACGAGTTAACGAATTTTCAAGTGTATGAATAAAATCCCGGCTGATAGATGAATTTCATGACACGATGTAGATGAGTGACGGCTTTTATGAGATTGAAGTACTGACCTAAATTTCTTGAATAGCTTGATATTAAAGAAAATATCACTAATCGAAATAGTAGGTTCCTATTTTCGAATGAAATAATGTACTGGTTATAACTCATTTTGTATTGTTTATTTGAACCTTCACATTGATGTTTAGGATTGTAATTGATCACTCTCTTATTGACATATATGCATTCTGTACGAATTTCCTCGACATTGCCTTAAATCACAAGAGTTATGGATTTCATAATTCGCTCAAATCCAAATGAAATTTAGACTAGATTGTTAGATTCAATTTTTGCTTGACAGATCATTTGTATATTTATTGCAAACTATATGGTCATAAACTTGATTATCCTAAATTTCAATATATTCTATGAATTTGTATGCGAGGGGTAGAGAAGATATATAGATCAGGTGGATGATTTTTATGGAGTTTTGTCCTCTCACCTGGATAGTTTAATTATGAAGCTTTTAGTGTCCTTCTGGACGATATCATCAGAATAAACTACAGATAAAAGTGAGCTATCTCCGCAAGTTGTTCTGTCGACTTTGATCTTGAATCATTCAAGATCAGTTGCTTATTATTATTACTATTGTTAATGATAGAATCAATAATGTTGGTCTACTCCCACAGGCAAATAAAACAGTTATAATCGAGTTTAAACTCAATAAGCAATGGATATTTTGTGATCCATATGGTTTCATGAAGAAATTTCTCCTAGTACAGTCTAGAATTTTTTTTATTATAAAGACTAGATTCATATTTTCAAGTGATAAATATAGTTATGTTTTGTAAAATGCATTTTTAGTTAAAGAAGAATACAGTGAAAAATCAGATTACATATGTTAGTAACAAATTTGGCAAAAAGGAGAGTATAATGAATGTTTTGCGTGGGTGGATTGTAAGCCTACGCAAGTTGGCCGGATAGCGGTTGGAGCATGTTTTATCTCTCTCGTCGGTATTTATGTATGTGCGTACGTGTAAGTACTCATAGCAGGAATCAACCAGTAGATGTAATAAAAATAAAGAAATTACTTTTTTATGTTATAAATTATTGCCAATTTGTATGTGTTTTATATATCAATATTATTGTTGTAGATAAATACTTAAATTACTGTTGTAATAATCAGTCGGTCATTTAAATTTACAAGAACATTGTACATGAATTGAAATTCAATATAGACAACCATATGAATATATCTTCATTGACGTATAAGGTGTAATGATCTAGAGATTCCTAATCAGTAAATATTCTTAGATAACGTTTTGATAGTTAAGCAGATATGTGTTGTTTTAATTTTTCTGAAGAATGAGTCAATCAGTTTATTGATAATAAATGATAGATAGATATTTTCATCCCAACGTTTATTTTCAATAAGTTTTCTTAGAAGAAAAATTGTCTGATAAACTTAATAACTCACAAGTAAATGGATAGTCAAATGAACTGAAAGAAACTCATTCTGGTATGAAATAGTAGGTTTGAAGTGTTTCACACTATGTGCACAGCAAGTTGGTAGTCAGTATTTTAAACTCAATTAAACGCGTATTTATACCCTAATGACTGTCACCAACAGTACATAAGCCCATTTCAGAAATCAATATGACTTCCGAAAGTTAGTAAACTTTTGGAGTTGGATGTTTTTGCCCCAAATGATGAAGGTATCTTTTGTATATATTGTATATTACGGGAATTCGTCATCATTATACCCGTTCAGTTAATATAATCCATGAAGGTGACACTCAGATCCATATCTCGATTAAACAGTGTTAGATCTTTATTTCTTAAAGATCATTTAATTGTGTTCTGTTTACAGTAGCTATTTAGTAGTTAATTATTTAATAATCCAATATTCACAGTAATTAACAATCATTCATATTTATTGTTTAAAATTCATGTCTCATATCATAGTCAAGTCACATATATTAATGATTAGGCTTTTGAACTGAAATTATACATTGAGTTTATCAATTGTTCTTGAATTGTAATAGAAATGTAGGCTTAGTGATAATGTTTACGTTTACAACTTAAGGGAATGATGCAATAACCACATATTTTACAATAGATATATATGTAATTTTTATAGTTGAATTCATGAGTCAATTGAAGTTAGACCATCATGGAACACCTGGACATTAACACCATTGGGTGCCGACTTAGTGGTCTAGACGTTAAGCATTCTCACGAGTGACTAATTGGTCCTAGGTTCGAATCTCGTGGGGCGGGATCGTGGATGCGCACTGTTGAGGAGTCCTATAATAGGACGAAACGGCCTTCCAGTGCTTCGAGGTTTTCCACGATGATCTAGCTTCAATTGACTCATGAATTCAATCATAAGATATTTATGTATTGAATGATTATGAAAAAAATTTAGTAAATAATATAGATGGAAAGAATATTCGTTTTATTTTTCAAATTACTTTTCTTTTAATTTCTTAATAAATTTCTTTAGTTATTCAAATTGTACTATCTATAATAATCACTTTAAATCGATGATAGTTTTACTGAGATACAATATTTGTATTCATGGTATTTATCAGTCAGAAAGTTTACTTAATAACAATATTAGAAGGAAGTTATGTTCAAAGATGGATAGTGGCTAGCAGTGGAATCCAGGACGCGCCACTATCCATCTTTGCCTATAATGCTTGCAAATTAAGGTAATATCGAGGCATACGCACAGTATGCGCATATGCCAATAAGAGACTGATCAATTTCAGTCCTAAAACATCAATGGGAAGATTCAAGTAAAACAATACTAAGTGAAGTTATATTCAATTGAAAATTAACTCATTTATATATATCTTATCAGATTAATGATAATCTAGTTGTTAAGTAAGAGGTAATATTATTTCATTAAACTATCAACTGTTTCTAAGTCTACTTTCATGATGAATTATAACTGTAAATCAGTATATAACATTTTATATCAAAATAATATAATACCCCCCCCCAAAAAAAAACATTATCTTATTAATATTAGATTTTTAAATAAATCTGTTTTACCAAACATAGTAATTCATTTGATTATTATATTTAGATTTAAAATAATAAATAGTTCATTTGAATAGTCTAATGAAGATCACATGAATTTAATGCATAGATCTAATCAGACCATGACCCGAAAATCATTGTTTCTATGAATGATAGCAGATTGGTAAACTTGTCTAGATTTATTCTGTCTGTCTGTATTATAATTATTATTATTACTATTAGTAGTAGAAGTAGGAGTAGTAGTAGGAGTAAGAGTGGAATTAAACAACCTTGAACTTAAAAACTACCTGATAGATATTATTTATATCACACTATTTACAAAATAAATTGACTTACTGTCTTATAAACTTTAAGGTTAAAATAGCAGAATAATTATAGCTCCTTTTTTGTCTAATTGAAGGTAAATTCAAATTAAATTAGACTAATTATAATTAGATTACAGACTATCTTATTGAGATATTATAACATTTAATAGGTTCTTATGAAAAGGAGGAGATTGAAATGTTGTAAGTGATGATAAGTTTGTGCGTAAACATTCATTTATTAGAGTTTGCACTGTACTCGACTATAGAATTTGACAGTTTAATATATAGCAGATGTTCCAAATAATCAGTAATGTTTAAGTGCTATAACTGTTGATACAATTATTGGGATATAGTTGTTCTTATGTTAGACGACTAAATTCCCTGAGTTTTATGAAAAAATTGATGATTGAACAAGTTGACAATGCCTGTCGTCCTAACATTCAATATCATATGCATTCATACATAATACAATTACATTTTATGCATAATAAAAACACCCTTGTACTTGTGTATGTGCTGACAGGCTATATTTAAATTCTTATCGAATATTTCTAGGATTGGATAGCTGGATATTATAATATGAACTGAGTTTAGTAAGGCATCCATTGAAAACCAGGTGCAACTAGACATACTTTACGTCCTTCATAGCTGATGTTAGTTTTAGGCAAAGAATCTCCATACACACATAATCACAATGATAATAATAATGATAGTAAAATATACTTTCTCAACTTAACAAGATCCTGGCAATATTCCTATTAGTAATTCTTGCACCATTATAACTATATTTTTATAACTATCCTATGACTTTCGTTTTCATTTTTTCACATTATTATTTCAGCTTTGTATCTCATTTGTAGCTATAAATAAATAATAATAAAATAATAAAGAAAATAATTATTTATCTTTAAAAATTAAAAAAAAAGAAACAAGAAATATAGTTTTTGTTATCGTCAGTTTAAATAGCTACAATGAAATTGTTTTGATGACCGTTTTTTTTCTTCTGGTTGGTGACTAGTATTCATTAATGTAGATAATTTACAATTACCAACATTTGTTAGTACTACCGTATGAGTTAAACTATGATAATTTTTATACGTCTGTATATGTGGGTGGACAAATGCGAATCAATTAATACTTATTCAGGTGTGCAGAATTCTGTTCTATAATGCATTTTGAAATTTTTTACTATTGCGAAGGTATAATCAAAATAAAACACAATAAGGCATAATCTTTTCCATATTATAAGTAATGGTCAGTAGAAATTATAAGTTGTTAATCATATATAATTGTTACTGTCGATAATGACAATGAGAGAACCTCATAGAGGGCAGATGATTGACTTGAACAAGTTTTTTTAAAAAATAATATCACGTGTAATAGTTATGTGTAAGATCTAAACTAAGTAGTGACCAACAATAGAGATCTATGTTTCGAATTCTTTTATTTAAAACTTACCAATCATTGATTTTATAAATTATGATAATTTTTAAGGAGAAAGTTAAAATCAAGAAAATATAAAATGCATCTAGTTACTACTGTTCAAAGTACTTTTTTGTGGTGTGTTTTTAGTTTATTACTGAACTGACGAAATAAAAATGATGAACCCTACAATATATTTTCAAACTACAAATTTATTCGAAAAAAAAATAGTTATATTCTTAGTGCAGATTATTAACAACACTGAGTATTCCAAACTCCGACTGCATGCATCGAAATGTGAAATCAATTAAAAAAAGAATTGAGTTTATAACGTACAAAGATAGAAAATGTAGACCATCAAATTCTGATATAGTGTTTAAATGGCGCCATGATTGCTTCGAACCCTGAATTTCTTTGAATTCTTAAATGTATACTATTGTACAATTAATGATATCTTAGTCAAGTATTGATGTTATCTTGATGGAGTTTTGTCCGTAAGTATGGTATGTGCTTTGCACATTCGAAGTGCAAAGTACTTCTACAAGACTGGCAGGATTCCAATCCTGTACTCACCCTGGATGGTGAGCAGATAGACGTAGTCGAGAAGTTCGTGTATCTGGGTAGCTGCATAAGTGCTGGTGGGGGTGTGAGTGATGAGATCAGTGCACTTATAGTGAAAGCCAGAGCGGCTTATGCCAATCTGGGCCACCTTTGGCGCCTTCGTGATGTTAGTCTGGCCGTAAAAGGTCGGATTTACAACGCGTCGGTGAGAGAAGTTTTGCTTTATGCTTGTGAAACCTGGCCTCTCCGGGTTGAGGACGTTAGACAACTCTCCGTGTTTGGTCATCGTTCTCTCCGAAAGATTACTGACATCCAATGGCAACACCATGTCAGTAATGCAGAGGTTCGACATCGTGTGTTCGGGCACAGCGACGATAATGCAATTGGTGTCACCATCTTGAAACACCGACTTCGGTGGCTTGGACATGTTCTCCGAATGTCGTCCCAGAGAATTCCAAGTCGTGCATTATTTGCCGACCCTGGGACTGGTTGGAAAAGCGGAGAGGTGGTCAGTGTATGACATGGTGTCGTGGTATGAAAGAAAGCTGCAAAGGACTGGCTTGTGTTGGTCCTTCACGACTCGCTTGTTGGGGTCCGAGAGATGGTGCAACACAGTGGCTAGAGACGTTATCAGATATGGCTCAGAATAGAAGCCAGTGGCGATCCTGCTGTAACCTTCTTTTACTTTCTTCGTAAAAAGTGATTGGATCTTCCTAAACTGAAGGACTTCCTCTGATTGTACCTTTCCGTTCCCCCATTATTACTATTATTATTATTATTATTATTATTAATATTGTTATTGTTATTATTACTACTACACTACCTTACACCAATCTCTTCGTTATTATTCTCTTGTTTTTTTACGCTTCTTACCTTTTTTCTTTTTCCTTCCCTTTAAATTCTCATTGTTTTGTGTGGCGCATGTATATTTGGCGCACTCTTGTACCAATATTTATGTGCTCAAATAAACAAATAAATAAATAAATTTGTTTTCTGAGCTGAATGGTTTGGTCATGAAGCATTCATCGTTCTTCTGAACGACATCATCAGCATAAATTTTTATCTAAAGTTTGTGCTGATGATGATGCTGAACAATGAAAGTTCCATGACCAAACCATCCAGCTCAGAGAACAAAACTTCATCAAAATAATCCACCTGAGCTACAAATCTTCTCCACCATCTCATTATTATCTATTTTTTCAGCTATAAATTTCTTGAAATAAACCTTTATTTTGAATAAATAATTCTGAATGTCAAACATATGTATTCAAGAATTTTTTTTATGAAAAAAAGGTTAAATATTAGAAAAATCAAACAGAAATATTGTATTCCATTTTTGTTAATCTAATTGAAATGAACGATTGTAAATTTCACATGTATCTAATATATGATAAATAAATAAAAAAATAACTATAGTAACTAAATTGGTGGAAAACTTTCCAAGTTATTGATTATTGAAAAATATTCATCAAAAGACATTTTCTTCAATAGTTATAACATAAAAATCCAATTAAAATCAATGTATGATGTTAATCATGAGAAAGAAAGGTGACCATATACTTTATAACTAATATTATCATAAAATGTATAGGATTGAATAGAACAAATATTGTGGTTATTATTACAATGGTCATTAGTGTGAATTTTTTTTAAAATTATAACATAACAACGATAATTATAGTAATAGTAATAATAATAGTAGTAATTACAATAATAATCATGATAATTATAATAGAATTAAGTTTAAATCAAGGAAATAAGTAGTATCTTATTTATATAAATTCATAAACATTCATTTCAATAAATATAATATATGTAGGCAGTATGAAATTAATCTTTCAGTTATTTGATGAATTTAGTTATTAGTACAACACCTTATTTTATATCTTCACATGAATATCGGATTTTCATATTAATCACCTAAATTCTATTCATTTTATTTTGTTAGTTAATCTTTTTCCTAGTTTTAATTGTATAATCTATGATAATGAGTTTCTATTCCTAGAAAACTATTTTGCCTTCGTGTATTTCATAACTTTTGATGGAGTTTCACTCTCTAATCTGAATGATTTAATCATTGTTTCTCAGATAAATGTCATCAGCAAAAACGTCAGATAGAAAACTTTTGCGTTACAAATTTTCTGCTTTATTCCCCAGCTTATTTGTTATTTCGAAATATTCGCATACTAACATTTTCAACAATCAATCAACCGTATCAATAAAATCTACTTAAATAATAACTCCATCACCAAACAATAAATTTATCTGATTTGTTACGTAATTATTATTAGTGTTTCAGGTTGTAAGGAACAATGTAGAATCAATGAAATAAATGAATTCAATTTTTTCTATATCATGACTATTATTGTTGCTTTGGTTGAAATTAATATTTTCTTTTTTCATTGAATAAATTTTCGAATATGATGGATGGAGCATTGAATATGTTTTGTTTGAATACCATCATCAGGATTTTTTTGGTATTTATTTACTATCTGTTTTAATCATTTTGATAATGAGAGATTATTGATTTGTAGTGAGTTAAAATATGCTTTAAAGTATTAGTTAACATAAATCAATTGAGATTTAGATGGTGGTTGGAGGTAGTCAACAGGAAACCCTGGACACGGGTTTCGTGCTACTTGACACTTATCAGCACTCGTCAGTACCTGTAATCTTGAGGGGACTGGTGATCCCTGGCGGATTCGATCTCCTGTCACCCAGCTTCACAGTCAGAGACGCTACCACTGAGCTATCCGAGCCGCGACTGACCTCTTGTAGGACTGAGATATAATCACAATTGATTGATCACTGGGTGGCGATCAATGTCATCCTTGTCTAGTCCTTATTAGTGCAGATCGAATGTTATCGACTACCTTCAACCACCATCTAATCTCAACATAGTGCACGCAGTGTCGAGTCACCTAGACTGGTGGCCACATTGCAACATGATCGATAGCATTCGATATGCACTAATAAGGACTAGATAAGCATGACATTGATCACCACCCAGTGATCAATCAATTGTGATAAATCAATTGAATAATGATCTATTCTGTTCTATCGAATAGATTAGTTAAAATAATCGGTTAAATGATTACTGAGATGATTAGTTGCTTTGGTAAATTTGGATAATGCGATGAGAAGACGAATCTTATCAAAATAATGTAATATATTTGTGCCACATATTTCAAACAATCTGATTATACATACTTGTTAAGACATCATATACAAAAAATAAGGGGTCAACTGGACAAATTAGGAGGTGAGGAGAGACGAAGATAATAGTAATTAGGTTAACTATACAATTGAATGATGTAACTCAAAGCCTAATATAGGTACTTGGAGTTACAGATCAAATGTTTAACGGTATATATATTCAATCGTTTGAACAACTTTTTTAATTCTGCCAAAATCATTTTCTATCCGTTTACATCTACATTTAAAATTAAACTTTATTGTAGATTTTTCTTACATAAAGTATGTATACCTGTTATCTCGTCAGTGGTTTATACTATTATTTCTGGGTTAAAGGTGTTATATTTCGATATTTTGGCTCACAATACTTAGTGAACCATTCAGCTATTCTAATACGATTGATTCTATGGCGTAGATGGATAACGGCGACAAACGCACAATACATCAAAACTTGACCGATCAAGTAGGGAAAAAATGGAATATGGGAAGACATGGTATTCAAAGTAGAACAAGTAAAATAAAATGAATTTATACAACTCCATCTATTTGGTAACGAAAACATGACTCATAAACATTCAGATTTAACGAACGAACAGCGATGGAAACCAATCAGGAAAGGTAACGACAGTGAATAAAACAATTAGAAAAATAGATATTTGCATATAAGGTTAGGGTTTTGAGTAAGATTTTAACATTGTTAATCAAATCCGAGTAGTTTTGTGTTCACTTTAGCAGTAAATATTTGGGGGGAATCCATGAACTAAATAAAATCATCTTATTCAACTACCATCTTTACTCTTACTTCATTCAAGTTCAAAAATGGTGGAAGACTAAAATGTTCAATTCATGTTTCAAAGTATAGGTTGTATCACATTGAGAATGAAAATTACTCACCAGGTCTCGATTCATTGATTACACATTTAATAACAGACTTGAAAGAATTATATTAACTTCTGCAAGTAACCACTTAGCTGAAGTACTACTACCACCACTACATACATACGTACATTTTTAGACGTCATCAAATAACATCAGGATCATATTCAACTAATTATAAGTATTGTATTGTTCATAGAGTCATTAACAGTTAAACTGATTCATGTAAATAGGTGCAGGTTACCTGGTTAGGGTTCACTGTGTTATCTCACTCGGAGTGACATGATTCATAACTGTTCAGAATAATGCAATAGGAATCACTCTATGATCTCTCTTAGATCCTAATCCTTAAAATCTTCCTGTACCTACTGTTCCCTACTACTACTACTACTACTACTACTACTACTACTACTACTACTACTACTACTACTACTACTACTACTACTACTACTACTACTACTACTACTACTACTACTACTACTACTACTACTACTACTACTACTACTACTACTACTACTACTACTACTACTACTACTACTACTACTACTACTACTACTACTACTACTACTACTACTACTACTACTACTACTACTACTACTACTACTACTACTACTACTACTACTACTACTACTACTACTACTACTACTACTACTACTACTACTACTACTACTACTACTACTACTACTACTACTACTACTACTACTACTACTACTACTACTACTACTACTACTACTACTACTACTACTACTACTACTACTACTACTACTACTACTACTACTACTACTACTACTACTACTACTACTACTACTACTACTACTACTACTACTACTACTACTACTACTACTACTACTACTACTACTACTACTACTACTACTACTACTACTACTACTACTACTACTACTACTACTACTACTACTACTACTACTACTACTACTACTACTACTACTACTACTACTACTACTACTACTACTACTACTACTACTACTACTACTACTACTACTACTACTACTACTACTACTACTACTACTACTACTACTACTACTACTACTACTACTACTACTACTACTACTACTACTACTACTACTACTACTACTACTACTACTACTACTACTACTACTACTACTACTACTACTACTACTACTACTACTACTACTACTACTACTACTACTACTACTACTACTACTACTACTACTACTACTACTACTACTACTACTACTACTACTACTACTACTACTACTACTACTACTACTACTACTACTACTACTACTACTACTACTACTACTACTACTACTACTACTACTACTACTACTAATAATAATAATAATAATAATAATAATAATAATAATAATACTGTGGAATTTGATTTGAAACAATCTAGCTTTACTATTATGGTATGGGAACTTGAACCTATTCACGCATGTCAGGTTCTCCCTTGCATATGATGGACTGAGAGATTGTGTATTCATCTCCATGCATTTCAAACTTGGGGTCATTTTATCTGGCCCTATGAAATAAAATAAAGTCATGAAATTGAAAAAAGGTGACTCTTAATTTAATTTATAATGGCTCAAAATGCTCTGCTGTTAATATTTTGACTGAAATTCGATCATTCTTGTTTAATAAATATGCATCCTATGCGGATTGACTCGATGCAGCAATTATGTCATAAGGTTATATATAAAGCAAATAAAAAGTGGATAGTAGTGGAATCCAAGATGTGAGTTTCGTTTACATTCCATTTATTCTGTAGAAAAAAGTTGATTGTTAAAGTTTGTCTTATTTTATTGGTCCTATTGGCTGCCTGGGTTGAATTTCTATGATAAGTGCTTGGAAAATTTTCGATCATTTTATTGACATATCATTTTGACTATAATTGATCAAAAAGGGTTACAGATTTGTTATTAATGAGTTTTAGAATGCAATTGCATGCCAGTAAATTAGATAAAATGTATGAATGTCATACAGTCAAATTATTCTTTAATATCTACTTAGAGAAGGAAATTACTATAAGAAGCTTTTGCACATTTCACCTAAGTAGGTATGACACAAATACAACATATAGATAGGGAGGGGTTAACGACAAATCGTCCGAAATATTGTCCGATAAGAAGAATTGGAATAGTAACAAAAAATGTAATGACTAGAACCGGATCAATAAAACAAATTACCTACTGTGTGTACTTGTGCGTGTGTGTGTGTAGGGTGGGGTAGGCCAACATTTATGTTCCACAATATAAAATAACACTTTTTTCTGGTTAAAAATAATTCACAATGGAATTTCGAAATTGTAATCAATTTCTAAAAATAGTTTATTCTGTACTAGTTTTAATCAATCAATTGATTGACTGATTAATCAATAAGCATAGATTTGAACTAGTCTATACAATGTTTGTAGATCTAATTTAAGAAAATAATTCGTCAAGAAAAGAATTAGTTTAAATATTGAATCATACATATTGAACTTGAACAAAACATTGGGATCATATATAAATCATTTTAATGTTTAATACATGAAGGTTATAATTATTCAAGAGTGTAAGCATTGAATATGAAATTATATAATACACTTTAGAAATATACCTAAGTTTTAATTCATCAATATCTAAACTACAAAACTTGATTAAATTTCATTCCACCTACTAGTGGAATTAAAAATTTTGGTCAATCATCATCACAAGAAGTAAACTGCACTCGTCAAATACTGGCTTGTTTGCACTTCTTTTAAGAGTAAATGATACCAATAACACTAAAAGAGGTGATATTATTCCGATACTATTTATGAAAAATATTCAAAATGTTTCAAATTTAGGTAATATTTGTTTACTTTTGCAGGTACAAGTTACTGACAAATGAAAAATAGCACGAAACCTACGTTAAAGATTTCCTTTCGATTACCTCCAACCACCACCTTACATTTCAACATAGTGCATATGATGTCGAGTTGCTTAGACTAATACTCACATTACAACTCTATCGACAGAATTCAATCAGAACTGAAAAGACTGGACAAATGTTACGTTGGTTACAACTAGGTGATTAATTAATTGTAAATATATCAGTCATACAAGAAGTCAGCCATAACTTGAATAGCTCAGTGGCAACATCTCAGACTGTGAACTTGGGGTATACAGAACGGAATTCATCAGAGAGCACAAATTATCTCAAGATATCAAGTACACATTTCTGACAAGTGGCAAATGGCACAAAACCTAGATCCTTGGTTTTCTATCGATTATATCCAACCATCTAACATGATTCAGTAAATATTTAATTTAGACCTATAAAACACTAGAATGTTATATCATCCTAATTGAGTACACATTACCCATGAAATCTTTATTCAATGATATATCACTGTACGTCAATTCGCATTGATCTTGTATATGATCGTATTGTTGAGGAATCGGAAATTAGTATGATAAAGTTTTGCGATTCACTATACCTCACAATGTTTATGATTATGAAAATGATAATTGAAAGATTAAACAGATTTTCAATTAAGTTATTCGTTAAAATAATATAATAGTGTTTACAGATTTCAGTCACTTTTTAAAAGTCATCAGTTGTGTATGTGTTTGTAAAAAAATACTGATTATACTATTTACTAATCAAATAATGTACTGCTAACAATCAAGCGAAGTATAATTTTTTCAAAAAAACATGTTGAAGAAAGGTCAGTTGATTCTTAAAAAAAATTAATAGTTCGATTATTTCAAGGAAAAAAGAAGAGGATCTGTATAGCAATTGTAATTTGTTTCAAACAAATTATTATCGTAATGTTTTATTTATTAAATAGGAGATAATAGCAAAATGATTTAAATTTTCGCGGATAATCCCCCGTCGTCGTCGTCTCTTCGATGATGATGTTCTTACTATTTCAACAACAGACTATTTATATTAATTTGCTTTCAAATACTTACTTACATACACCTGTTACTCCCTGTGGAGGAGCATAGGTCGTCCACCAGCACTTTTCATCCAACCCTGTCCTGGGCAATCATTTCCAGTTCTTTTCATTTGTTATTCATTCTGTTCATATCTGCTTTCGATTCCCGACGCAGTGTGTTCATTGGTCTGATGATTTTCTGTTTGCCTCCAAGATCCCAAGTTAGCTCTTGTCTCGTGATGCAGTTTGATGATTTTGTCAATGTATGTCCTATCCATGTCCATCGTCTTTACCTCATTTCCTCTTCATCTGGAAGCTGGTTTGTTCCCTCTCATAATAGGATGTTGCTGATGGTATCCGACTAATGGACAGTGAGTATCTTGTGTAGACAATTGTTTAGAAATGCTAGTGCATTTCTGATGATGGTTGTGGTAGTTCTCCTAATTTCAGCTCCGTACAATAAAACTGTCTTGACGTTCGTACTGAAGATTCTGACTTTGATATCGGTTGAAAGTTGTTTTGAGTTCCATATGTTGTTCAGTTGTGGGAATGTTGTCCTTGCTTTGCCACTCCTCGTCTTCACACCTACATCTGACCCTCTTTGTTCATCGATGATACTTCCCAGGTATGTGAAGGATTCTACATCTTCCAGAGCTTCTCCATCAAGTGTGAGTGTGTTGGCGTTCTCCGTGTTGTACTTGAGGATGTTGCTTTTTCCCTTGTGTATGTTGAGGCCTAGTGATTCAGAGGCTACTGCTACACTGGTTGAATTCATTTTATTTGTTCGTGTGTATGGAATCGAAGGGCCAGGTTATTTGTGAAGTTCAAATCTTCTAGTTGATTCTGAGATGTCCATTGTATTCCGTGCTCCCACTCAGATGTCGAGGTCTTCATAATCCAGTCAACCACCAGAAGAAAGAGGAAGAGGGGGAGTAGACAACATTGTCTGACCTCAGTCCTTACTTCGAATGCATCTGTCAGCTGTCCTCCACGCACGACGTTGCATTGTGGTCCGTCGTATGAGTTCTGGATATTGTTGACAATTTTCTCAGGAACTCCGTAGTGTCGAAGAAGTTTCCATAATGTTCTCCACACCGTAAAACGCTTTTTCATAGTCAATGAAGTTGATGTACGGTGACGAGTTCCACCCAACTGATTGTTCGACGATGATCCGTAGTGTCTCAACTAGGTATGTGCAGTTTTCATATATAAAATGTTAAAAAAATATGTAATCAGCTTCTTATTATTTGGTTATGAGATCACTTTCATATATCTACCTCCTATTCGACATTCGTCGCATGTTACATCATTCATAATGAAATTAGATTTTCTACCAAGTAAGGCAATTACTAATACTCTTATCACTATTTTTGTATAAAATTATATCTAATTAAAAATATGTTAATAATAATCATAATATGCGAAGAAAAAAGTCTAGTTAAGACATTGTTACAAAACGTTTATGAATAGATTCACTCAAACTGATTTCTTTTTCTTTCAGATATCAAATCGAAAAAAGCCAGAACAACAATGTTTGCCGACAATAGAGTGAATAATATTAATTAAAGCGATTGTTTTCACATCTGATCTCAATGAATATAAAAAAGTTTATTTAAACCTCTATTTATCTTCACTTTGATCTTGAGTTCCAGTATTTCATTGAAAGTGAATTCACCTTCTGTTTTCTTGAATCATATTTTCATTATTTAAACTATGATTATTATTCTTGTTATTATTTAGGCGTTATAGCTACTCAGTTTGTTAGTTTCATTTTGTCATGCTCATATAATATAGCGATATGGACTAACGTATGTTTGTCAACATCGCTACTTCGATTATAATCTTAGTTAATTGTAAATATGGACATATGTGAAAATGAAACAAATGAATAGCTTATTAAGTCAATCCGTAAATTTTTAGAAAAAGAATCGTATAACGTAGAGTTTGAAAACTGGAAAGTTTTTGAGACACATAAATCTTACCAGAATGGGTTTTGTGGAGTTTTTAACAATTTAATGGTTGGATTCATGAGTCAATTGAAGCCAGGCCACCATGGAAAACCTGGAAGCACTGGACGGCCGTTTCGTCTTAGTGGGGAACTCCTCATCAGTGCGTATCTATGGTCCCGCCCCACGAAATTCGAATCCACGACCTATCATATATAATTTTTTTTAACGAAAAATAACGTGCTAAACAAAAAAAGAGTGGTTAATAAACAAGAGTTCGATACCTGAGAATCAATTAAAAACATTCCCAACAAGGTGGGCTCAGATATTTATTGACAACTATTTCGGAAACCTTTCCAAGCAGACAGTTGGAGGTTAACAATCATACCACGCCATGACCTTGAGTTTAGTTGAACACAATCTTATTGTTAATGGTCCAGCAACGTGCAAACAGTAATATTAATCAACGTAAGGTAAATTTTTAACTAAGACCACATAATAAAGCTCAGACTAGGAAGACTGAAGAATATAAATTGCGGTTAACAGAGACCTAAATAAAATTTAAAATACAAGACAGGGTGAAGAAACAAATAAATGATAATACTGTCCGATAAAATGCTCTGGAGGGACTTTCATAGTGTTCTTTCCGTTACAGTATATGTCTGTAAATTGGCATATATTTTGTAATTATTCACAGTATTTAAATTTATTTCCTTCTTACAAAGGTAATCATCATAAGAAAAATGGTACCACTTGTAGTAATAATCTTCAAATTTCATAAGTAGTATTTCGTAACAAACTGACTGAAGAAGGAAATATTTTTCTTTTGAATTCGAACTCAATGATCGTACTTGCATATCACTTATATGTTTTAAGCATAGCCTAATATCAAATTGTGTTAATATTCAGTTTATTTAACCTTAAATGAGAAGAAAACATTAGTGTCTAGTGTTTCGCCGCTTTAATCATTTTTCAGCTGAAATTATTTCATAATGAAAAAATCCCTGTTAAATGTACAATTTATTTTGACATATATTTTATTGGTTATAATCGTTAAATTCACTTAACATAATCATTATAACGTTAGGGGATGCACATATATACATTTATTAAATATGTATTCAATATAACAGATCATAATGCAATAAATTTTTTGCATAGTAACTACATAACCTGATTTGTCATTTTGTAACTAGTTGGCGTACAGTAAATGAAATGAAAGAATATTATTCCATTGTATGAATCACTGATGTACATTTGGTTTTATTCTTTATCATAAAATAATTATATATTCCGATGATCATTAATATTAATATTATTACTTTAATCTTGTTTTTGTAAGATTTATTCTTTTATTATAACAATAGGTAACTTAATTATTGGTTTAAAAGGGATACACACACACACACACCTAAACATGCGTATTATTCATTTTCCTAGACATCATCATCGTCGTCATGATGATGATCATTATCGTCCTCACTGATAAAACTAGTAATAGTGGTACTACTACTACTACTACTACTACTACTACTACTACTACTACTACTACTACTACTACTACTACTACTACTACCCTATTTAACGAATTCTCTAATGTTTATCACTTAACTAGGTTCTATTCCAACATAGGCTGTGAAATAACTATTCAACCATTCAGTCAACTAGTAAGTCATTCAGCCAACTAGCCACTAAGACAACTAGACAATTAAGCCATGACTAATAAATTGGAAATCTTGACATTATTGTCTTGATTTTTAAAAAAATTGACCCAATGAAAAATAAAGGATAAGTAATATATGTGTCTGGTTCATGAAAATAATTAAGAGAAAAAAGTGTTTGTTCATTTAGCCTTGGGGTTAAGTTGGTCCGTCAGTCAGTCAGGCAATTAATCACTTAGTTTATCGGTTGGTTAAATTGTTGATTATTGTTTGGCTCATTATTCGGTTGATTGATTCATCATTCGTTTTTATTTTTTACAAACTAATTACAATGATAAGAAAGTAAACACTTAGATGACAACCAATATATTATTCTATATTCAACCACTTTTATTTACTGGCTGTTATATTGTTTTAAACATGAAAAAAGTCGTAATTCTTTTTTTCCGAATATTATCTCAAGATCATTTTTATCAATGTTGTTTATTTATTAACTTCTGAAGTGTTAACATGAAGTAATTTCAGATACGATAATTAGTAGTAGTAGAAGTAGTAGCAGAGGCATTATTATTATTATCATCATTATTATTAGTGGCATAGTTGTGTATTTTCCCATTGTTCATATTACTGAAAGAAAGTTTATCAGTTTCTAAATTCACTTGATATTATTTGCTTAAATCTTCCCATTGATGTTTAGGTTTGCAATTGATCAGTTTCTGATTGGCATACATGCATCATGTTCGGATTGCCTCGACGTTGCCTTAAGTCACAAGCATTATAAGCAAAGATGGATGGTGGCGAGTGGTGGAATCTTGGACGCGCGTTTCATTCCGCTTGGGCCTCGTCACACGGACGTACCTGCACCCTAGAATTGATGTTCACCCTGGGACTCGAACCCAGTACCTTTCTCTTCAAACACCATCGCATTATCCACTTAGCTACTGAGTCGTAATAGCCAGTAGCTTGTGCAATAATGTGAAGTCCCTAGATGAACATCAACTCTGGGATTCGGGTACATCCAGCTGACCAGTCCCAAGTGGGACGAAATACACGTCCTGAATTCCACTGCTAGCCATCAACTATCTTTGCTTATAATGTTCATCAGTCTCTGTTGAAATATGAGCCAAGTGAGTGAGTGCTTTCATAGTGCTCTTGGCTACTAGTTCCAAATCCTTTGAGTTGTGACTCACAGTGGAACCCAACACATGGGTTTTGTCCTATTTCGTATTATTTTCATTAGGCACTTATTTCATTAATTTTAATGAGTAAATAAAGGAAGTAAAAAATATCATTGAAATAATTTAAGAAGTTTTATATCTATCAACCAAGAAAGAAAGATAGGGTAAGTACTTTAATGAAATCTCTTCCATACTTAGTTTAACTGTGATAAACTTACAACTGTATGAACGAAGAATATTCTTTTCGAAACTTCTCGTCTAAACACATGAAGAGTTGGATTGGGATTCCCTTTATTTTACTAGCTCATGTCAAGTTTATACCATTTCAGAAAATACATAGCCTTTCAGTAAATATTTAATTTGACTTGTAATTACGTAACCATTTACTTGTCATTATCAAAAGAATGAATAGCGTTTGAGAGAAACTAGAAAATATATTCCAGGATAGAGTTGGTTGGAGAATCGTGATGGACGGCCTATGTTCCGCCACTAGGGATAACAGGTGTAAGTAAGTAAGAAGTAAATTGTTTATCATTGAAATAACGTTTGTATTTCTGCTTTACACTTATAGGACACTAAATTGTTTAGGACGAGCAATAAGCGTTTTATCTGAGTATACGGTTTCCTAGCTCTTTACTAATCATCCTATATTACCTACGTTTATTTTTTATGAATAATAATCTATCTAAAGCTCAATTTGTTTGAAATTATCAAATCAAACCTTGGTAATGACATTTAAATTTATTTTTACTATTAATCTCATAATTTCAACTGATATATAAGCTTAATCAAGTTAACACAATGTACTAAACATTTCAACTCTAATAATTTCGAATATATTGTATTAACATTCCTAAGTTCGTATGCTACGATTGCAAACTACTGACTTGCCTTAAATTAGATTAATCTCTTTGTAACACTAATTTAGACTGGTCACAGTAGAATCTGATGAGAATTTACTTCAAAAATAAAAATAAAAATACTTCATCCATATATCTTTATTTTCATATGATGGGAATTTTTTTAAAAACTGAGATATTTTCTTTCATCAATCGTCAGAGAATAACAAATTAGGCTGAAATATTATATGTCTAATTTTCATACATTTTAATAACATGGCAATAATTATCTTGAAAAGAAATTCTTACTTACTTACTTACTTACTTACGCCTGTTACTCTCAATGGAGCATAGGCCGCCGACCAGCATTCTCCAACCCACTCTATCCTGGGCCTTCTTTTCTAGTTCCATCCAATTCTTGTTCATTTTTTTCATGTCTATCTCCATTTCTCGGCGTAATGTGTTCTTTGGTCTTCCTCTTTTCCTTTGACCTTCAGGATTCCATGTGAGGGCTTGCCTTGTGACGCAGTTGGGTGCTTTCCTCAATGTATGCCCTATCCACTTCAAGCGCTTCTTTCTGATTTCTTCCTCCACTGGGATCTGGTTTGTTCTCTCCCACAGTACGTTGTTGCTAATAGTGCCCGGCCAATGGATCCGAAGTATTTTGCGTAGACAATTGTTAATAAACACTTGTATTTTCTGGATGACGGCTTTCGTTGTTCTCCAGATTTCCACCCCATACAGTAGAACTGTCTTGACATTTGTATTGAAAATTATGACCTTGGTGTTGGTTGACAGTTGCTTTGAGTTCCAGATGTTCCTCAGTTGTAAATATGCTGCTCTTGCTTTACCGATCCGCGCCTTCACATCTGCATCAGATCCACCCTGTTCATCAATGATGCTGCCCAAATATGTAAAGGTTTTAACATCTTCCAAATCTTC